GTCTCTCGACAGTCTCTCTCAGCGACACCAGAGAGACTCGATTAGAGACGGAGACGCGAGTCTCGCTTTCAGAGACTCTGAGAGACTAAACATTTTTATCTAGGGAAGTAGGGTTTCGGAATAGAAACTGAGAAAGGACTCCGCTAGATCCTTACGGAAAATAGCCCTCTTCTTTGAATCCTGGTAATTTTCGATGTAGGTATAGAAAAAAAGTTGCAAGATATGGTCCCTTAAAGTTGCATTCTTCTGTAAGCACTTCCAAGGTAGGTACAATTATACCTATTATATGGTAATGTATACAAATTCGAGGCTATTTAGGAAATGTGTTATATAAAATATTGTTTCAAAAATTTTTTAATACACACATTTCCTAGGAATTGTATGAAATTCCGATATTGTATTAGGAAATGTATAAAACTAATGATTTCTGTGAATAAAATACGTTAGTAAACTAAGAATCAGAGTCATCTGCATTTACGCGGTTCTTGTGCGATCACTTGATGTATATACATTGGTGACGCTATTGTTCGGTTAGATTTGAGATATTGATTTACACGTTCAATATTTAAAAGAGTTTGACAGGGGGCCATTTGTGTAAAGAACTTGTGGGTTTTTTTTTAATCTACACATTGGTCGCTGTGCCGCTAAAGCCTGCAAATGGAACAATAGGCCGTTAAATTGAAGAGTTCAATGGAGAGATAACATCTGAAGTGGTGCCCACGCATTACCTTAACATCAACTGATTGATCGCACTGTGAATTGTCAAGATGCCGAGAGAATACAATATTGATTTCCGATATCCGTACTTTTCAAATGGGAATAAGGAAACGAAACCACAAGAAGCTTACTTTAACAAATATATACGTATACAGTACGGAAATTGTGTGTGTATCTATGTATTCGATAAAGCAATGGAAGACACAATAGCGTCAGAAAGCTTGAAAGCTTCCAAGTAAAATTATTTCTACTAAAATTTAACTACCAACAAGGAGAAAATGAAAAGGAAAATTTACCTATATATTTAGTGATATTTACAGTTTATCCCACCAGCCCGTTGATCCGTAACCGAAAATAGAAAGTACAATTTGGACCTGAATTTGTAACAGTGAAATCCCAGCAGAAATAAAATTACTAGGTATTTTAGTTGATATTAAATAATAATTAATTAAATTGTAATAATTAAAAAACGTGAAACAATTTTTTAAAAATAGGTCAAATTGAGATTATTGCGGCAAATTAAGTCATTTACAGTTGAAAATTGTAATTTTTCTGTTGTCACAAATATTTAGTTTTTTCCGTAGAGTTGCAAATTATTCTATAAACAGTGATAAATTCTACCCCTTAAGTAACTGTCATACTTTATCGCTTTATTCTTTAAATATTTTTGATCGGGCAGTCCCTCCGGACTACATCAAGGACTAGCTTGAGCGGGAGGTCCTCTTCAATCTCTTTTGAGGAATCGTGGAAATGGGGTGGGAATGGTTGAGGTGAAAAATAGACGGACTAAATGAACATAGAAGAAAATGAAGGATTCTCTGTGGAATATTATTGCCCCAGTATTTGCCTAGGTGATCCAGGAAAATCACAGAAAAACTTACACCAGGGCAGACAGACCCGGAATAGAACCAGTGTCCTCCCGAGTGCTAAGCAATGGTTTAAACCTCTAGACCATGCCACTGCCATAGCATAGTCAGCAACAGATTATCAGTGAGAATGGGCGTCTCTTTTTTCTTGTTTCTACTTGAGACTGCAGTCTTTTGTTGCATTTTGATGACACCCTTGTTAACTTAGGAAATGCTTCACGAGTAGTACTCATAAAGTGAAAAGAGATAAGTCTGATGCTGGCAACATGCTGAAATTCTGCTTTTCTGCATCTCTTTCGGTTTCACTTTAATTGGTATAATGTTATTCCTGTTTCTTTATTAGTGTTCGCTGCAATTCCTAACTGACATCTCTTTTCTATGTTTACGATATTCCCCACAATGTCTGACGTGAGTAAAAGTACCTGTAGGCATTCTGTCAACAACCGCTTTTGTCCAGTTAGAAAGTTGAAAGAAAAAAGTAAATCTGACAGTAGTTTTACTGCGAACTATGCCAATTTTGAATGTCATAACTATAACTATATTGTTCTTAAATAGGTGCATATAAACTGCTATATTAAAATACAGGTAGGTGCAGGTACATACTAAAGGAGCATCGGGTTCTGCTCTTATTTTAAGTCTCAAATTACTCGTGTGTTTACCTGCACAACACCTGCTAAAATAAATAAAGCTATACTAGAAAATCTGTTATACAACATAATCAATTTTCATATACGCCTAAATAGAATCCTAGAATGCTATTAATGAAATTCTTAGTAACAAGGAGTGGGATGTTTAAGCTATCGATATTATGAATAACGAAGCCAATCAGTAAGTCATCAGGATGATCGGATTTCCGTGACACAATAATAATCTGCACCAACAGTGCCTGTTTATACAAAATGCAGTTGCTATTAATTTACATAGTAACGGTAATTAATTGCCAGTTAATACACTAAATCTCGACGAGCTAAAGTAAATTTGGAAGACAACGTGGTACATAAATTTTCAACGCATTGTTGGCCAATTTGGAGCTAATAAATGTTTCACTACAAGTAGGGTATACGTAAATTTCATTAACGAGATTTTTTAAACGTATCTATATATGGTCCAAATAATGTCTAGCAATGATCGTCAAGTCACAACATTAATCATTCTTGTTACTAGGAGATCCTAGAGGTAGGATCGCTTAGATGGTGCTAATATTTTTCCGTCGGTTTTTTTAAAAAGCAACATCAATTTCCGCCATTTCCAGAATAAATTAGTATGTGATGTATAGATATTACATAAAGAATAAAATACGGTAAAATCCGTGTCGTTGCCGAACAAAAAGCTAAAGTAACATTAGGGATGAAAGCTTAATTATACAGCCCAGTAGCTAGAGATCCATCACGGAAATGCGCCAACAACAAAAGTATGTAAATCGGACTTTCGGGGTGTGAATTACATGCACACACGTCTACTTGCATGCCCAAAGAGGCAACACTTACCGCAGTCATCTTAATGCACTTACAGAGCAGCCAACTAGAATGTGGTAAAATCTATTTTTATTCTTTAAAGTCATCGTATACTTATTGGACTTCTCCTTGATAGATTGAAGGATATTATTTGCAAACTTGATAGATATTTATAAATGTGGGGTCATTCAGCGTAAAATTATCTTGAAACCAGTTGAAACGATAAAATTGTAATAGGTATAGTTGGAACGATCAAAATTAGCATAGTCCGCAATAAAACTGTCACATTTGCTTTCTCGTTTCAACTTACTGACTAGACTAGAGTGGTTGCTGACAGAACGTTTACTTTTACTCACGACAGACGTTGTAGGGAATATCGTAAACATAAAAAAGAGATGTCAGGTAGGAATTGCAGCGAGCACTAATAAAGAAAAAGGAATAATATTGCACCAATTAATGTGTAACAGAAAGAGATGCAGACAAGCAGTATTTGAGCGTGTTACCAGCATCAGACTATAAAGAAAATTCAACATTCTCAGGAATTTAGGAAAGTAAAGACGGATATATAAAGTTATAATTCCCAACAGGCAGTTATAAAGCCGACCCTGACCTTTTGCGTACCTAAGCAACCTCTAACTGCTGCCCCATTTGCTATTATTCCGTTATCTCTTTTCACTTTGTCATCAAATGACTACAGTCGCAAGTGGAAACAAGAAAAAGTGTAGGTCCATTCTCACAGACAATCATAAGATTCTAAATGTTATTTCTTACGTTGGTGCGTTATACTAAGGTACAATTTCTGTTGTTGAAGAAAAAAAAAACTAAAGACAACTTTAAAGGAAAGCTAAACTTAATATGATCACTTAGCAAATGGATTTCTGATTCTTTAACAGAGCGAAATAAACTGGAACTGTTACCGGATGAAGAACTAAATTACATTTACTAAAGAGATTTGAAGAAAGCTCCCTCGAGACATTTTAAGAAATAAACTAAAATAAATTTCTTACTTTTGTTTTGCTGTTACCTTTTCAACTAAACTACGAAGCCACTTTATAACAATATACTTTGCTTTACTATGAATTTCATGAAAGGTCCTTCCTGAATAAATATCAACAAATTTTTCAAAGCTTAATTTCAAACCAAATCAGAAACAACAAATTATCCGCTTTTAAAGGATAATCATTTCAAAATAAGTGATTAAAACGTTTGTAGATTTATCAAGAATTATAAATGACTTACCCAAACTGGAAAGCTTTTTTTCTAACTTGTATGCCAAAAATCGAACACACTGAAACAAAACCAAGTAATTCAAATAGTAATAATTTCATAAGAAGATGTAAAAGAAGCAATTGAATCAATGAATGAAAAGCTTCTTAATAATAGGCAACAACATTTGAAAGTTCACATTAGGACTTGTTTTCTACAATATAAACATTCTTCAACAAAATTCCTTTTTCGAAGGTTTTTATTGGCATTTCATTGACCCAATCATGTATTGTGCGAATACTAATCATTATGAAATATTTTCCGTCATTAGCGCCATGTTTAGTCTCTTCCCATTTGACCGATCCCTATTGAAAATCTAGGATACTATTATATTATAAATAGCCTGGAACAATTTTGACTGGGCGAACATGTGATTGTGAGCTTCTCCAAAAGCTTCGGATTAATCGTATCAACATTCATAATCTCCAACGCTACAACAGACACATTGAACTGAGTGAAAAATTAGGTTAGCCGTAGCTTCCGCTTGCTTTAAAGCAAATAGTAATACGGTATGACCTGAACCAAAAGGAATGTTATGTTCTAAAAGCTTACGCGTCACAAAATTGTGTTTAATTTTTTCTCCCGACAAAACCTACCAATGATTTTGATATTCATATTACACACTGTACTTCATAGAAGCTTTGAATTTCAATTATTTATAGTTTTGTTCTTTCCGTAAATATTAATGTTTAATGATGAGCTATTATGTGGTTACGGCAAATCGCACAATTATCAACGACAATATCTGAAGATTACAATTTATTACAATCAATCAATTAAAGAAATCTTAATAGAAACTTACCCCAAGCCCAAAGGGCAACGGCATTCCACTAAAAAGTTTTAAAAATCATCATTTACAATAGGTTATGTACAAAACGATTATTCACCTTTTTAACTTCAAACCTTTTCTTTTCGCCTTTAGAACTGCTGGACGTGGGCAACTCAACTTCTTCATCGTCTACATCCATTGCTGAAGCCATTTTATATTTTCCACGATTTTTTATGAAACAAAAGTCTTTTCTACTACCTATTTAGGTACTACAAACTGGCAGAAGCACCAGCAAGTATCTATGGTTTTTCTTATATGAATGTTATGAATGGTTATGAATGCATCTTCATTATCAATGATTTTTGTTTCACAGTCTTGTTCATAAGTGACAGATCGTTAGAAATATAAATCCTTGCAGAATTAACGTGTTTTATGAAAGCAATTTATATATTTAAGTAATAGTGAGCATAGAAGAAGGTAATAACATATTTGAAATTCTTTTTAGTTAAATTAGACGTTTATTGTTTCTTATTACAGGTTAAATTGCACTTGACAGTGTTGCGGCCATTTACATGATTATAATATAAGGTGAGAATTAAAGTAAGTTGTTTTTTATAGTAAGAAATAAATATAGGTAGATATGGATTAATGGTTTTCCTACAGATAAAAAACGAAAGCATAGTTCACAATTATAAAAGCTATAGGGATATAGTTAATTGAAGAAATGATATTGTATGTGTCTATGCCAGTAAACCATTGCAAGGATTTCTAATTAAAATGCAGTAATTTAATATGTACCTGCAAAATAATTTTCAATCATTCGTGCATATTTGTGTTAATTGTAATATAGGGATATAATTGAGTAACTACAGCAACTATGTAGAATGATCAAACAATACCATGCAGGTATGAGACTCCTGCAATTGCAGCCTTTCTTTACTGAACTGGTGAAAGTAATCTTTTTAAGTTGTAATTATACTTCGAGTTGTTTGTGTTTGATGANCGTATCAGGCGTTTTGATCCCCCGACAAAATGTCCCCGGACAAAATATCCCTGACAAAATATCCCTGGACAAAATATCCCCGTGACAAAATATCCCTAGACAAAATATCCCCGTGACAAAATATCTCCAGACTAAATATCACCGAACAAAAGCCCCGATAATAAATTATCGAACCGATACTCCAATAAATAATATAACGATAAGGTGGCATGGCGCAAGTTTGACCGGGTTAGGTTAGGTTAGGTTAGGTTGCGCTGGATTGACTTGGGTTGGATTGTATTATGTTTGATCATGTGAGGTGTGGTTGGTAAGGAAGGGAACGTACGGCAAGGTAGCATGGTGCAAGTTTGACAGGGTTAGGTTAGGTTAGGTTGAATAAAATATTGGAAAAAAATTCTTATAGCGATTTTTAGGGTTGGGGGATATTTTGTCTAAGGATATTTAGTCTGGAGATATATTGTCACGGGGACATTTTGTCACGGGGATATTTTGTCCGGGGATATTTTGTCGGGGATATTTTGTCCGGTGATATTATGTCGGGGGATGAAAAATCAAGGAACCCTATCTCTAACTTCTCCTTGTTAGATGCTAATTCTACTATACTCACATCTAGTTTCTTAAAGATGATGAAGCTCATCAAATCGCTCACTAATAAAATTTGAAATCCACTATCTTAATGAATGCGTGTCGTTTATGGCATGCGATTAAGCGTTCTAATTTAAGGACATGAATGTTTTAGTGCTTTTACCGCATTAGTCATTAGCCATTTAACTTAACTTATATAGTACTCGTGTTAGTTCTTGTGACATTAACTTTATTTCAACAAGTTTGTACAAAGTGGTTTAGGTAATTCACTCGGTTTCGTCTGCCAGGAATTGGTTTCTCAATCGAATATAAAGAACTTAATCAAACGTTATTTGCACATACGAAGCGTCCACGTAACCATTTCATTCCATTAATGTAAAGAATAAACGGACTCAAGTAAATCAACTGAGTAATACAAGAATAAGTTCGGTTGGTACTTTAGTACTTAACAAAAATACGGTTTTTTATTGCAAAACGTTTTCAATAAACTAGTGGCAAGTATTTAATTTTTTACCCTATTTTGAGATTTCTTTATGTGCATTCTTGCATCTTCATCATCTTTAAGAAACTAGCTGTAAGTCCGATAACCAGGGTGAAAATAAATAATTTTTAACTCCTTTTGTCTTTATTTCACACTGATAGACTAGAATTTTTATATTAGCTGAAAATAACGCCTTTTGAATAGCAAATTAAACAAATGCATTTTGAATTACATATCATCATCATCATAAGGTCGTCAGTCCTAAGACTGGTTGGACACGCACCTTCACTCTTTCTTAGTCAGAGCTAATTTTTGCATTTCCTTAAAACTAGAACATCCCACATCCTTAACTATTTGTGAACAGTAATCTAATCTGGGTCTACCTCTACCTCTCCTAACTCCTGTTTCTGCCCCTAATATGTGTCCGACTAGCCTTTCATGCCTAAGGTGTCCTAACTAACCTATCTCGCTTACCCGTACAGCGCCGCGCTCCCAACATACACCTTTAACAATCTTTTTCAAATTTCTAAATTAATCGTTCACGAGCATAGAAGTGACTTCTTTTTATTGAAGGCGACTCGAACCTGCGCTATCCTCTGCTTTATATCCCTACTACTCCTTCCGTCCTGACTTATCTGACTTCCTAGATACCTAAAATCAGTCACTTCTTCTAATTTTTCGTCTCCTATCTTTATATTCGCTCTTACCCTACTTTTTCTTCCTTTGCATACCAGTATTTTTGTTTTTACTTTTATTTATTTTCATACAATACTGTTTTGTCAATACCGCTTCCATTTTATTTAAAGCTATCTCTAAGTCCTCCTTGCTAGATGCTAATATTGCAGTTCCTTAAACAGGAAAAAATGTAACATTGAAGGAACGTAAGCGTAGCATCCAAGTATACGCGATCCAATCCTTTACGTGTTTACAATACCCTGACCTAATAGTAGCTCGAGAGTTTACTGTAATAACAAAACATCACAAACGGAGAAGAAAAAATACTGAATCACTGGCATACATACATACACATATTTTGTTATATTATCCAAGTAAAGTAAGGCCTTTTCTTTTCACTAGAAGTGCAATAAGGCTTTTCTCCAGTTCTTTTAATGTCAGAAATAATGTTAGAGTTCATGAATATTTGTACGTTATTAAATCTTTGACTTTTATGAACACAGATGCAATTAGCCAAGTTTAAAGTTAGAAATGACACCATTTTAATTACGTTTTATTAGATTTGACTGAATTATAAACGGAAATTGAATGCAGGGAAGTCCGTAGAATAAACGCTGAATAAGGAGTGGTGAATGTTCTCAAATAAATGGTATTAGGTTAATGAAGGAGCGTCTTACGTAAAAGTTACGGTTTACAGTCTCGCTGTGCTTTTGCAAATTACAGCTTAAATGAAGAAAGTAACACGAACTGAATATTCTTCGTGTTTTACTTTAATTAAAAAACAAATTCACTATCCGTCAGGAAAGAAACAGGTGAAAATGTTATGTACCTTCATTAACACTGGTTGAATGAATGAAGGCGCTCTTCTCAAATTATTAATTTTTTATTATACGGTTCTGCTAAGAAAAAATACATCATTAAAAAAATAAATAAACATAAAACCGGTTGAAAATAAAATACGGATTCGCACAAACATACCACGTACTGATTAAATATATGAAATCATATGACATTGTTAGCTACTAATGGTGGTTAATATACAATATTAATTTGAAGTCAATTTTCTATTTTTGATCCACTACAAACTTTCCTCAAATTAATAGTAGTACAAAAGTGATTAGTAATCTGGAGAATTTGAATTTTAAATATCGTATCTAAGTGGAAAAAATTAAAAAACTTTTGCAAGCGACAATAAACTCATAATTTCAAAATAATATTCTTGGTCAGTAGGTATTAAAACTATAAGACGTTAATTGTAATTTCGACCTTATGAAATCTCATCAATACGCCATAGTGGATAAATCACCTACGAAATTGGGGGAGCTCTTTAGAAGCAATTTCATATAAGTACTATCTAGTTACAACAGTACAACGTCATCTACTAATATATGCTTCTAACTATTTCATACGTTAGATAACGACCTTACTAGAGTAGGTACCTAATACTTGCCCATCTGAATCGATGATGCACTTTATAATCGTGGTAGAAAAAAATTCAGATATGTATATATATTCTGAATTACTATTATGAGACAATTAATAATTTTTTCCTAATGGATATAATAGAAACCGCTGTTTTAGGGGTATTTTTATTGGAACGTTAATGGCTACCAAATTTTCGTAAAGAATAGAAATAAAACAAAGTATTGAGTAAAATAGGTCACTTAAATGTCAGTAGACTCTTGTAAAATAATTCTTCTTTTATTCTTTCACCCTTGTTCGTATTTCGGAAAGTCGCTCAACTTGAATTAGTATTGTCAGATCTATAACGTTAAATTAACATGTCTCCAACATACAATACAGTTTGAAATTCCTCTAATATGATATTACCCAAATTCAGTTCTAAATTTCTCCTTTTTGGTAGGGTAAAATGGGGAGATATTTGAAAGAGTAGGAGAACAGAGGACAGTATGGAAGTCAATAAGAAACAGGCTAGGTAGTTTGGTAAGACACCTTCTCAGGCATGAAGGTCTAGTCAGATACATATTAGAGGCAGAAACAGGTGTTAAGAGGAGTAGAGGTAGACCTAGATTAGATTACTGTTCGCAAATAGTTAAGGATGTGGGATGTCTTATATAGTTTTAGGGAAATGCGAAGATTAGCTCAGGATAGGAAAGAGTGAAGGTGCGTGTTCAACCAGTCTTAGGAATGACGACGTTATGATGAGTGTAGATTATAGAACGGTTTTGGTAAAATTTTGATAGCAAGTTTACACAAGAATGGTTCGAGTATTCGTTTTTATTTAGGTCATTATAGGTACAATTTCTTTTTCTCTTTTCCGTTTTTTACACTCGCAAATGAATTCAAAATACCAGTTTACCGCTGTTACACGTGAATTGGATTTTATGTGCTTGTTTTCAAAATTCAATTTGTACGTATTTTCCTTTGAGTTTCAATTTCACGCTCAATTTCTGCATATCCGAGGACCCTTTTGTACATCACCTAGCTCGTTATGAGCGAAAGGACTGAAATGCTTGCATTCCTTCCTTTTACCCTCTGTGACTAAATCGAACGTAAGCAAATAAAGGTCTTACAAGATTACACTTTTCTTTT